TACCCATATAGACATTCTGTTCACATCCTCTATATCAGCAAAGACAGATTTGGGGTGAACATCAAGCTTCACTAATCCACTCCACTCTCTCAACATTACCACTACAACTTCAGTCAACCATCATGACAAGTTCCAAGCCTTACGAACTCTACCCTTCCTTCAAAGCTGTCTCCCCCACCTACATTTAGAGACATTTCGCTTGGATCCACTGTATCAGCAATACAAAAGAATTTTATATTTACAATTATTGTCTTCTTTTCCTTTCACCTTGATGATGATATTGTTGTCTTGTTTGTTCTTCCATGCTGCCATACATACATTATAACAGTAGCAAGTGGGTAGTAACATTTTGTCTATGAGAAAGGGGTTGCAATGTAGAAAACAATTCATCACCCACAAGGACTTTCAAGGCTGGAAAGTGAGGACTGGGCATCTTCAGCAGATGTAACAGAAAGATTCTATTTTTTGGTCTGATATTGAATAAATATGACTTATTCTCACTGTTTCTCTTTTCTGTGGCCTTGTGTAGTGATTAAAAAAATCCACCATGTGTTGATAGAAACAAAATAAATCTTTATCTAACAATACAGAAGAATAAGATAAAAGTTGAAGTTTCAAGAGTTCAAATGTAAAAGTCTTGGTGCATACAAGAGAGAAGGTGAGAGAGAAAGAGTCTAGGAGAAAGTAAATATATAAGTGTGTATGTATGTATACAACCAAATGTAGCAGGCACTTGCCTTACAGTGTAGGTGAAGGAAAGAGGGCTGCTTAAAAGATGGTGAAAAAAATGTATATTTTTAAATATAGAAGGAATATGTAGATGTTTCAGGTTGCCAGATGGTTGTGCAAGTGTCACATATCAGCTCCTGGTTATGTTACAATGAAGACAGCATAAGATAATGCAGAAAATTTATCAACTGATTCTGATTTAGGTTGATTTTCAATCTCATTATATACATATCCAAAGATGCACTTCAACTGCACTGCTCCGATTCTAATTGGCTCGTGACTTTGTATCCCACTTGTGAAAGCTTTCTGATTGGTGGGTCAAAATACAGCTTTGAAGCCTGGCAATTCTGAATATACATCTATTTTTAAGGATGCCGAAATTTTGGTTTCCTTGTTATTATTTATTTATTTTTATTTATTTATTTATTTCTGTCACTGCAGATTGTCCAGTGATGGTGATTAAATAATTATATCATGTTGGGTCACCAGTTAATGGGTGAATGATGGAAGAAAGCTTTATAACACCATATTTCATGGATGAAATGGAATGGCTGAAAGGAAAAGGAATGACAGAAATGCTTTGTTCTCAGAGAGAGTTTTATACTGTTATATCATACACAAATTATATATACATATGTACATTTATCCCATGCAAAGAAAATATAACACATATATGCAACAACAAGAAGTATGAAAAGACAACAAAGAGATAGTGTCTTACTTATAATAATTCTAATAGGAATGAAGCTGCTGGAGATTCTTCTGGGTTTCTGGTGAAGCCATATTTATGATTCCAGATTCAAGTGGACCCAATTTATCTGCTATGTCACTAGTGAGGACATATTCCCCTCAAACAAAGAAATGGTGAGTCATGGGTTTTTTCACAAATTGAGGACTGCAAGCCAGAGATATTTTTTATAACTGGTGATGATATATTTCTATAGGAAAACAGTGCCAAGTGTTTGTAAGCTGCTGCAAGGATGCAGATTTAGCCTCAGCCTGGGCCCAGGCTAAAAAACAAGTGTTTGGTTTGACTTCTGGAAGCTGATTGAAGGACTGACCACTGTTGTCACTTTATGAATTGATGTCACTCAGCGGCTGTCACATGATCCACGTGAATTCATCATGACCAAAAGGACATAATCACCTTTTGTATTCCTACACCAGCATTCACTGCCATATAGGAGATTAGATATTACATAACCAATCAACACTCTTTTCTTTGTTTGTAAGGACAGTTTTCTATCCCTTAATATTTTGCTTAGTTTCTGAAAGGTATCTTTCACTAATTGTATGTGCCTTCAGATTTCTTTCATACCTTTTATTAAATAAAAACTTCTAGCCTAACATTTAAAATAGATGAGAGACAGGTAAAATCAGAACAAGAAGTGAAATAAATGCTCAGTATGACACACCTGATTGGTAGAGGGAAAATTTAATCAATAAAATGAAAAATAAAATTATTTTTCCTTATTACTTAGACTTGAGATGTAGCAATAAAAAAAGTAATTGATCCATTTTTTGAAGTAGAGCAGCTTATAGAAAAGAAACTATATTTCCAATGTAATTATATACATATCATATTAAAAAATGTCCAAACTTTATTTTCTACCCAATAACAGACAATATTACAGATATACCAAAAAGATTCCACAATACAAACCACACCATTTAAATCAAAGTGTCTGTAGGTTAAAAATTAACATCACCATGTGAAGAATTTGACCAATCAGAAAAAACTAAAACCCTATTTTTCTCAAGCCTACTTTCAGGAAAAATTTCTTATAAAAAAAAATAGAGTCCATGGCTACCTCATTTTCCTTCCCTCCCAGTGTGTGCTGAAAGAAACATGTGCCAGTAACTTCAAAAGAATCATCTCCACCACCAACAACAATAAAGATGATCAGCGAATCTTCATTAACAATAAAAATCTTTTCTCAACCCAAGCTTTTTTTGTTTTTTACTGTGGATCAACTATTTAAAAATCTTTTCTCAACAGCAGATTTTTTTGAGTTCCAATGATTTAAAAGTGTTTTCTAAACTACAGAACTTTCTGTGTACCAAATACTCAAAGACTATTTTTACTCCTTTTTTGACTCTTTTGAATTCATGTATAGTGGTGTGGGGATTTGGGGTTAAAATGAGCAGTTAATTTGCCCACACCAAGAAGATTAATGAAGGATGATAATAATGAGGAAACACACAGGTAATTTTAACAAAACAAGGTTAGGAATTATTCACAAATTTACACACATGTCAGTAGCTCATTTTAAGAAAATAAATCAGAATTCTTAAAGCCGTAGTTTTAACATATTGTCATGAATAGGAAATGTTTATATAACAGATTAAATGATCTGACACAAAATAATATTGAAAAATGTTTAAGGCAAAGGTAAGAGAGTTTGTTGCACACTGAAGAATTTGTAGTGGTGTTGTAAGATATGTTGGCTAGGGTCACCATGAAATGTAATATCAATCAAGAAGGAAAGCTGTGTTCTTATAAACAACACTCCACATGAAATATGCACAGAATATATGAGAGAAATAAGTCAAGCTCCATGAACATTAAATAAATATTTGTATTATAACAACAATATACAAACATCAACAATAGGCATGAAAAAGTTACTTCCCTTTTGTCTGTAATAAAAAGGGTGAATGCAGTTAAGTAATGTTGAGTTACAATATTAAATGTTAATTAATTATAAAGTTCAATTAATGTTCTTAGCTCAATGAAGAATAATTCCACAGTCTGTTTGTGAGTGTGAAAAGATGTAATGTGCACAAGTGATATTAATAGAAGTTAATAAGATTACTCGAATGATTAATAACTAAGAATTAAAATGTTATAAGTAATATAGTGCCGTGCCGTATATTCAACTGCTGTTAGCTAACAGCGAGAGAGTTTATATAGGTATGCATAGGCTCAAGTGAGCTTGGCGCCAAAAAATATTAGAAAGATACTAAAATACGCAATTGGCCAGGAAATGGACCAATCTGTGATTTTAGAGAAAAGTTCAAATAATGTGCGATGGCAAAATTGTCATATAGTAAGTATCATATATTTATGAACCAATGACATTAAAGAAAGCGGAGGTGTAGCACTTGTAAGTGATCACCACAAATTATATAATTTGCATACATTCAAAAATAGACAAAGAGAGATAGTTTGAAATACTTAGCTTTCTTGGATTGTTGAGAGAAAATTCTTTGAAGGATCACATGCTGGTTAGAGTCTGATAATATAGTTGGTGAATAATTTTATACAGGCGAGTACTTCAACGCTGTTCTCAAGGAACTGAAATAAAACCTTTCACACGACTGCAGACACTCCTCTCTGAATTTTAATTTTTCTCCTCATTTCATATCAAAAAAAAATTTGTGTGGGCTTGCTACTTTTTTCTTCTTGGTTAATTTCTGTGACGGCAATTGGTCTAAAAACAAGTTCACATAAGCTTGCTACTTTTTTCTTCTTGGTTAATTTCTGTGAAGGCAAGGTTTTCATTGGTCCAAAGAAAATTTCACATAGGCTCGCGAATTCCTTTATTTTTTTTTCTTCCTCAGTCTTCCGTATTTGAACGGTACGGGAGAAGGGAGTTATCATTTCGCAGTCACTACACAGTGTACACATATGTTTGTAAATACAAATAATTTATTTAACAGGCATACCCATGTTTATTTTTATTTTATTATTGTTTGAAATTCGGACGTTCGGATTTTCAATAAAAAAAATCCCTGAACGACTGATATTTCCTATAAGCTCGTTTTACGTTATTTAAATAATAATGTCAAATCCGTACTTTTTTTTTTTTTTAATTATTACTGAAAAGAATTAGAAATCAAGCACAAACATTTTTTCTAATAACGAGCAAGTTGCAATGTGCATATTAATATTTATTCTTTTTATAAATAAACAAAACAATTGACATAACACATGGTACTTGTACCACGTGGTTCTTAAAAGTATTGCAAAACAGAATAACAGTGTGTGCGCACATGCGTGTCTTTATATTTCCACATGGAGCTTTGAGCTGTGCTCAGCAAAATAAAAATAAAATAAAAGAGCGGTTTATTTAATATAGATGTGATTGTAAAAAGATATAAATTGCATTCATTTGTCAAAGGCGATAACTACAAACTCAGTAAAAAAAACTACACCGATTGAGTCATTTCAAAATCACTTTTAATGTCAGAGGAGGCTTGGAATCTGAAGTTAACTCTATTATCGTGCAAGTGCGACTTCCGTTAAACTTAACAGCACTTCCTGTAAGATGGCTGGCGTTGAGCCACATATCGAGGAGGAGGAGACAAAAGAAAATGCCATAAATCTTGGATTTCTTGAAGTAACCGACGGACGATTGCTGAAAAGCCATTTATTTCCGAGTAAAGTGGGCGGCTGGCCCGCCTGGTTGTCTCTATCTCCTTTGCCGACCCCTGAGCAGCTATGTTGTCAGGTATGCCGCGGTCCGTGCACCTTCTTGCTTCAGGTGTACGCTCCGATCAACCACCTGGAACATTGCTTTCACAGAACCATTTACCTCTTCGTTTGTCGAAATCCAAATTGCAATGAACCAAACATGGTACGAAACTTCCGGGTCTTTCGATCGCAGTTACCCAGGATCAATCGTTTTTATAGTTCGGAACCGCCGGTTGATGAAAGCACCGATAGTCTGGATTTGGAACTGGATTTGGAATCTGATGAAGCACCATGTGCTTCTATGTACCAAAGTATGTGCATCGTTTGCGGGTCAGCTGGACCAAAAAGATGTGGGGGGTGCCTAAATGCCACTTATTGTGGTAAGGAACACCAAGCCCTCGATTGGAAACTTGTACACAAGAAAGTCTGCAAAAGTGGACTTAATATCGGTTCGTAAAAACTTACAATTGTTGAAAGATCACTTTTTTTCGTCTTTAAAACTTTTGTTTTTTCTTTGAAATTAATTTTTTAGAATAATTCAGTTTTTATTATTATTGTACCGTTTTAACTTTTTAAACAAAAAAAAAATCGCTACAATTTACTTTGCTTTTTTTTGTGAAAACTTTTTTGTAAATATTTACTTTTTTAACTGAACTGAACAGTAATGTTTTTCTCGATATTTTTTTGGTAGATTTTTAACTTTTATTAGCTTTTTTTTTTTTTTTTTTTTTTAAGCTAAATCCATTTGTCAAAAGAACCTAAGTTAGACACGTACAGAAAAACAAAAGTTTTACTGTCTTTCCTGTGAAAGCCTAACATTTTTTTTCTCTTCAATTGACTAGTAGTAGTATCCGATTTAATTTCTAAATTTTAATTAACGTTGCTTTTTATTGCAACTTATAAATCGTCATTCTGCGATCGCTAAATTAAATATTTGTGCATTGTTTTTTTTTTTGTTTAATTTTATTTTGCTACTTTTATTACGTATTACGATCCATGGTAATAAACCTTAATCACTTTATTTTTTTATTTTTGTAATACCGAAAGTTAATTCTTCGCCGTATTCTTAAAAATCAACAAACATTTTGTCGTCGAAGCAAATTTAATTTCGCAATTATTTTTATTGCTAAAAACTACATTTATTTGAAAACAAATTTAAAAGTTACCACTTACTTAGCCACATTTCTAGCATTTCGTCTTAATATTTTTTTCTTAAACAGTTATTTAATATTTCTGTACGTGAAATGTTTCAGTTAAAAATAATTGAAAAATTTTAAATATTTTGTTTTCCTGAAATAGACTACGTAACGCAAACCTATGGAATTTAAAAGTTTATTTTAAAATTGTATATACTTACCGTTTTTAATTTGTAAGATTTGTTTTGTAAGTTTGTTTTGGTTTTTTTTTTTTTTTTTTCTTTAACAAACAAAATTATTTTGGCAAAAAAGATTCTGTTCGTGATATGAAAAAAACTGTAATTTAGATAGGTAAAAGAAAAAAATGTTCGTGACTGATAGATTAGAAAATAAACTATCAGTTAATTAATGTTAAATTAGTTACTCGGTATTTATCAAATTTCCTGAAAGAAAATGCTGCAATTTACCTCGTGGAGAAAGAAGAAGAAAAAAACAAGTAACTTTTTACAACAAAATGACTTAATTGCAGTCTTCACCATCATTATTCTCTGAAGTGTGTTTTTTTTTTTTTTTTTTTTTTTTAACACTTTATTTTAGTTTACTCTAGTTTAGACAAAGTCGGTTTTGGAATCTAGTACATTTAATTTAATTAATATGGCGCGGTTGTTTTTTGGGGGGGATTTTTTTTCACGTTAAATGAAAAACCCTTTCCTATTTTTCTTTCATTGAAAAAATTCTAAAATAAATTTACAACATTAATGCATTCAAAAGCAAGATGTTTGTGTCCATATTTTTCTACGTTTTGTAAAATTACAAGTTTTTCTTTCCGTCGTTCTTTCCTTTTTTAATCACATACAAATGCGTGTGTGAGCGATTTTGACACCTCGACTATTCTTGATTAGTTTTAATTACATTTACTAAATTAAAAATTGCATCTTAATTTAGTTTATTTGGAAATTTAATGTTGAACTGAGAAAGAATATTCAAAATAAATTTTAAAAATCTCCAGAAAAATGAAGTCCAACGAAATGGGGTGGGGGATAATTCGACATCGTTTTTTGTCGCGGTTTATCTCTAGTAAATATGCATTCAAATTAATTAGTTTGTATCGTAATACGCACCGTAGCCAAGCAGATTTCAAGTTATAATTTTATTAACTAAAAAAAAAAAAAATGAACATAAAAATTTATTTATACTTTTTTATTCATAATAAGCGGAGTTAATTTTTTAAATATTTTTTACGTCGTACAAGAAGTGACCCCGACTAGAGTTTTTCTAACTAAATCTAAAAATGCATAAAGTTAAACTTTAACTTTATGCATTTTTAGATTTAGTTAGTGTTAGACAGACTTTTTTTAAATCACATTTCCAATGCTTTTATTTGCAGTAAGAAAGATTTGGATTACCAGTTAATTTCTTTGTAAGCGATGGATCATGTTTATTATGTTATTCAAATAAAAAAAGGAAGAGAAAATTTTATTTAATTACAAGACGAAATTTTCCTCATAAAAAAAAAACTGTAAAAATGTTCTTTCAAGATGATGACAGTAATTTTTTTCTGTTAATAATTGCAAAAAAACATATTTAATTTTGGAATCTTATTAAGAATTTTATTTTTAAACCTTAAAGGCTAAATTTCTCCAATATCCATTTGATATTTTAACCGAAATGACGTTGAAAGCCATCCACATCAAACGGGCACTCTTTAAATAAAAACCTCCTGAAATCATTGCTAAATAAATACTAAAAAAAAAAACCCTTTTACTACATCAATTAATTTTTCTATTCTATCCAAGCAATAATGTATTATTATCCTTAAAAGATAATCTGATGATTATCTTGCTGTAAAAATTACGTTGTTTGGAAGATGATCGAATTAAAAAGAAAAAGTGTGTGTGTGGGGGGGACTCCAGATTTTCAAATTTAAAATGGATGGAAAAGTTTCACAAGAATAAAGTTTGAAACAAATTCGATTTAGTAAATCACTAACCAACCTAATTTTGATTCCTGTGAAGTGTGAATCACTTTTTAATTCAATAACTTACCATGATTTCTTTTAAAAAAAGCTAAAATTAAAAATTCTGTTGTATTCGCTTAAGTAAGCGAATACAACAGAATTTTTAATTTTAAAAAATGAATTGGCAATAATAAGTCTTTTATTGCCAAGTCATTTTTTCTCACAAATTGCTGATTTTACAATCTTGGAATCAGATGTCAAAGACATACTTTTTAGTTCAACTTCATTTGGCTTTCATATTTTTTAGGTAGTGTAAATCTTATTTAACAAAAAAACAAACAAAAAAAAAACTAGAGATCAAAATTTTGTCCTGAAACAACAGTTAACACAAACTAAAAAAAAAAAATGGATTTTTTGTCAAAGAGTCAAGCAAAGAAGACTGATTTATTTTTTATTTTTTTTTTAATAAAAAGCTATTGAAAAGCATTGAAATGAGAGACCAAGCCGTTTGATATTTTTTAGTTTTACAAGTTTCAGACGTGTAAAATTTGAATTTTTTTATCTATTTTCTAACTTAATAATCATAATGCTTTTTGTAACCATCGCGCGGTAATCAAATAAATTTTGTTTGCTCATGAACTGTCAAATTTTATTTGTAAATAAGCAGAAATTTAAGGTGATTTTTCAGTTTGTTTTATTTTCTACAAAAAAAAAAAAACATTACAACCAATTTAATGTGCCTTTTTGGTTTTTTTTAATATTTTTAAAGTTCTGGGTCGGCATTTAGTGTTGTTACACTTTCTCCCACGCATTAAAAGAGTCATTTTTATGACTTTAACTTAGAGATTGAATCTCAGGAAATTGTTTTCCGATTAAGAAAAGGTCAACAACAATAAAGATTTTCTTTTTCTGTTTTTTTTTATTTTCAATTTTACTGCAAATTCAAGAACCATGGGTGGGCCTGGATGGATAGCGGAAATCGACGAAGCTATTTGCACGGAGAAAATAATTATCAAATTAACCTATATGATGGATGATTACTTGCAGAATTTTTTTTTTTATGTGGATTATTTTTTCTCCGTGCAAACAGATTCGTCAATTTCTCCGATGCACCCAGACCCACCTCTTTGCTCAGCAGGGTGATTATGGAAATACGCAACGGGTGGCACAGGGAGTGGGGGTGTTGGTGCAGGGAGTAGGGGCTGGTGTGAAAGTATTTGTTAGTCAATAAAGATTATGTACATATAAATAAAATGGAGATTAATTTTAGCTTCAGTTTACTTTTTTTGCTTATAGTGTTTTTTAACTGTAAATTTGTTAATTAGTCAATAATTAAAAAAAAACAAACATTGATCGCTATTAAAATTGGCAGGTCTCTTAAAGTTTATGCATGCTTACTTGAAAATATTTTTTTTAAAAAGTATTTTTTGTGCACTGATTTTCAAATGTTTTATTTAATTTAAAAAAAATTAATTGGCATGGTCTTTTTTTTTTTTTTTTTTTTTTTTTTTTTAATTTCTCACACCATTTCAATTTCTGTTTATTTACAAAAAAACAAATGCAAACAAAATTAGTCAGAGTTTGAATCACCAAATGAAATTCTTTACGTTTGTAAAAAAATATTTATTGCAATTTGGTCTAACAAGAACGAATTCATGGATATGTCATGACATTTTTCCCCATGTGTGTAAAAAGAGTTGAGAAATAAAACAAAACAAACTGTGACCCACCTTCCTTACTTATATCCAGAAAAATAGTTTTATTACGGCTACTACTAAACACATGCTTCCTATGTTCTGCTTCTCCTTAGACTGTTATCCCCTGTTCATAACATGAATAATTGCTTCTCTTAATTCATAGCTGCTTGCCTGCTTTCCTCCATTCTTAGTAACTTGGATTAAAGAACTGTCATTTTCGCAACTGTTAACGTCTATTTAGTACAGAAGCATTTTGAAAAATCGTTTTTTTATTTATTTTTTGTTAAAAACCTCAAACTCTAATATGCCAGTCTCTTTATTCACACGGAATGAAATATATCGAAATTTACATTTTGGTTAATTAATTAAAAGTTAAGAAGAATTGGTTGCACCTTGTAGACATAGAATTGGTAAAACCTAACAATAAAATACCATTCCATTTTACTTGCAATAAGAGTTTAAAATTTTTTGCACTTTATGGATTGCCCAAGGTATAAAAAAAAATCATGGTCATCTATCAGCTAATTTGATTAGTAATAAAATGGGTTGTAGATTTTTAAGACAAAAAAATTAAAAATTCTCTTGTATTTACTCTGTAGAATTTGAAGAAATATGTACGTCTTTTTTGTGCACTTTGGGATCTAAAAGAATTACTGGAA